TCATCATCATCATCATCATCATCGTCATCATCATCATCATCATCATCAGCACCATCACCATCATCGTCGTCGTCATCAACATCATCATCATCATCATCATCATCATCATCATCATCATCATCATCATTAGCATTATCATCACCATCATCATCATCAGCATCATCATCATCATCAGAATCATCATTATCATCATCAGCATCATCAGCATCATCAGCTTCATCAGCATCATCATCATCTTCATCTTCATCATCATCACCACCACCACCATCATCATCAGCATCATCAACAACATCAGCATCATCATCATCATCAGCACTATCATCATCATCATCATCAACATCATCATCATCATCAGCATCATCATCATCATCATCATCATCGTCAGCATCATCATCAGCAGCAGCATCATCAGCATCATAAGCATCCTCATCGTCATGATCAGCATCTGCATCATCAGCATCATCAGCATCATCATCATCAGCATCTGCATCAATATCATCATCACCTATGGCATCATCATCATCAGCAGCAGCAGCATCAGTATCATCATCAACATCAGCATCAGCCTCAGTATCAACATCACCGTCATCATCAAGAATCAGCAGCAGCAGCGCATCATCATCATCAGCATGATCATCAGCAGCATCATCAGCATCACCCCATCATCAGCATCAGCATCATCATCAGCATCAGCATCATCATCAGCAGCAACAGCGGCAGCATACTGCTCATCAGCATCATCATCATAAGCAGCATCAGCATTATCAGCAGCATCAGCAGAATGCCCATCATCATCGTCATCATCATCGGTATGATCAGTACCAACAGCATCATCATCAACATCATCCGCATCATCATCACCATGACCATCATCATCAGCAGCAGCATCATCACCCACCATCATCAGCAGCATCATCAGCATCATCAGCAGCAGAATCAGCATCATCATCGTCAGCACAGCATCAGCATCAGCATCAGCATCAGTAGCAGCATCATCTTCATCATCAGCATCATCATCACCAGCATCATCGGTATCATAATTAGCATCAGTAACATCAGCATGAGCATTACCATCAGCATCATCACCCGCACCAACAACATCAAAACCATCAGCCTACTCATCATCATCAACTTCAGCATCATCGTCGTCATGATCAGTAGCATCACAATCACCATCATCACCAGAATCATCTTCATCAGCATCAGCATCCTCAATGTCCGCAGTATCATCATACACAGCATCATCATCGTCAGCATGATAAGCATCATCAATCAGATCGGCATCATCATCATCATCAGCATCATCATAATCGTCATCATCTCCATGATCATCACCAGCATCAGCATCATCAGCATCAGTATCATCATCATCATCATCATCATCATCATCATCATCATCATCATTATCAGCAGCATCATCATCATCAGCATCAGCATCATCAGCATCATCATTATCATGTTCATCGTCAGCATCGTCATCAGCATCAGCGTCAGCATCAGCATCAGCATCATCATCAGCAGCATCATCAACAGCAATATCAGAATATCATCATCAACAGCATCAGTGTCATCATCATTATCATCACCACCACCACCAGCATCATCATCATAAGTTTCAGCATCAGCATCATCAGCAAAGTCATAATAATCACCATGATCAGCACCAGCAACATCATCATCATCATCATCATCATCATCATCATCATCATCATCATCACCATCACCATCGTCATCATCATAAGCATTATCAGTATCATCATCACCCGTCATCACCACAATTATCATCATCGTCATCATCATCATTATCCGCCGTATCCTCCTCCTCTCTTCCCCCTCCTCCCTCCTCCCTTCCCCTCCTCCTCCTCCTCCCCCCTCCACCCCTGGTTCCACTTCTATCCTCTCCCTCTTGGGGTATGACGGCCCCTTGTCCTTCAACGCACTGCGTACTCCCTCAAATGCCTGATCAGTTCAACTCGCCTAGGCATCGTTTCTGGATTGGCTGGTAGGGTTATCCGAAGTGTCTAAAAAAGCTATTCGACCACGGTGGGTTCTCTGGGGCTCTCCTGTTAGCGTTTCATGTGCGGAAGACATTGTCTACCTCATCGCTCCACTATCCACGTCGAATCCAAGTACGATCCATGTCCAACGTCGAGCCCGCGTCGAATCCACGTCAAATCTGCGTCGAATTCACCCTTGTCGAATCCGCGTCGTGTCCGCGTCTGACACAAACAAAAAGCATCCGCCGTTCACAGGAGAGACAAGGTCCCCCGAAGGTGCAACGTGATCCAACTCTTGGAGACCCTCCGCGGGCCAAGCACACAGAGAACAGCCAAGGACGCCCTCCCCAGGATGCACAAGAGCATCCAACAAGCACGAAGAACGCCAGGGCACCCTCCCCGAACCGACCTTGACCTTACACCTCGGCCCGACTGTATGCTGGCTTCGCGCTCCCCCCTCCCGCCCCATCCCTCCTCCCCCGCACGCCGTCGTCGTCGCCGTCGCCGTCGCCGCCGCCGCCGCCGCCGTCGTCGACGTCGCCGCCGCCGTCGCCGCCGCCGTCGACGTCGAGCATCGCGCCTCTCGCCTTGCCTTTCGCGCTTCTCCCCGCGGGACCTCGCGCCCTCGCGCCGCCCCCCCGGAGGCGGGGCACCTCTCTGGCCCACAGGCCGCGGCGCGCACAAAGCGCACCCATACCCTCGCGCCCCAGCCCAGCGGGCTAGCGGCTGGCAGTCCCGTACTTCGGCGGCGAACGAGGGGGGGAGGCTTCGGGTTCGAGGTGCATGGTTTTTGGGCGTCTACGTCGGTTCTCGACGGTTTCCGCCCTCGGGTTGCATCCCAGCGGCCCGACGGGGTGCCGAGGTCGTCCCGAATGGCCGCCGGACAGCCAGGCTAGGACCCAAGAACCGAATGCGGCGGCGCACCCGGGGGGGGGACGTGAGAAGGAGCGGGCCTTCTCAAAGGCGGCGGGACTTCTCAGAAGCGCTCCAGCCTTCTGAGAGGTTGTCTGCGTCTTCGGGGAGGGCTTAGCAAACTCCTCGGAACCCTGGGGGGCTTCCGAGCCATCTCACAAGGCCTTCTGCTTCTCACGTCCCTGCCTCACTCGCCGCCGACTGTAGTCTTCTAACTCATGGGAGCCTTCCATCTGATCTCGCTGGCTCTTGCGAATCGACGCTAATCGACGCTAAATCGACGCTAGTCGACACTGCGGTGGTTACGCGATGTGACCACTCTGGGGCGTAACGAGGCACCCTCCATCAGCGGCCACACGCAACGAAGATGTTACGAATTACGGCCTAAAACATACAGCAGGACAACCGACGCTGTCCCGACGCTGATCGGCGCTAAACCAGCGTTATCTAATTGATTACCAAGCGCTAAGCGGCGTCAGTGCAATCTAAAAAACGGAACTACGAGTGTATACAGGGCTCCCATGATGTGCTACCGGATGCAGCCCTATCGGTGACTTGTGGGACCATGGTCCACTCCTTCACGCAGTGGTCAGCGCTCGAGAGGCCGAGTCGGGGCTGCGCGACGGGCCGTCCGTTGGTCCTCGTCTTCCTCTTGTCCTTATTTCTTCCGCACTGCCGCTGGTCCAACAGGGCGAGTGAGAAGATGCGCAACAGTTCCTGCTAGAATACTGCAACCGGCTCATGGCGACCCCGGGGGCATTCGCCGAGGTCGAGGGAGGTGCTGGCGTCCACCGAGCTACACGTAAACACTGCATCGACCTGCTGGAGCCGTCCTGCTCCTGCAAAACCAGGAACGACCTGCTGGAACTTGGAGCTGAACCTCTTCCTCCTGCCTCTCGTTGTCCCCGCCCTGCCTGCTCCCGCAAAGCCATCGGGCACCCCTCCACAGCTGCCTGAGCCCTGTCCTGAACATCCCCGGTGAGCGGTGGACACGTGGAGGCGCCCCCACCCTCAGGGGCGGGCAGATGCCCGCATCCACCGCTCCTCGAGGTGTCCTCGAGATTCTGGGGCACGGCTCAGACGCAGCGGATGTGAAGATAGTCTGGTGGACCTCCTGATCCTCCCCCTCCCCCTCCTCCTCCTCCTCCTCCTCCTCCTCCTCCTCCTCCTCCTCCTCCTCCTCCTCCTCCTCCTCCTCCTCCTCCTCCTCCTCCCCATCATCATCATCATCATCATCATCATCCTCATCCTCCTCCTTCTTCTTCATCCACCGACGGAAGCAAGCTGCTGCACTGACGAACATGCACAAAAGAGGAGGAGGAGGGGAGGAGGAGCGGAGAAGGACAAAAGAGAAGCTGGCCTCACCCTTGCCGTTGTAGGTCGGGCGCATAGTTCCCCCACCCGTGGGCGCTGCAGTACGGGTCAAAAGGAACATAGAATCTGGCCAACTCCTCACACACATCTGGGAAATCCTGCACACACTCGAGACCTGTAATCGAGCACATCAGTGAGCGAGCTAACATACGCGACATCTCCGACGGATACTGTTTGGCAGCCGACGTCTTGAATTCGCCTGATTCATTCACCCCTACGAGCTCCAACGCATGAGAGCTACGCACACATCGGCCCTGGCCAGGCAACATCTGGATAAAACCGTTCAAACTGTAGACGTTGATGGCCAACAATGTTGTCGGCTTCCTGGACTTGGCCCCGCAACAACACTGGTCGAAATTTGTGAAAGAAACGTGCGCCCGAGGCCTGAAGCCCAGCAGGGCTTTGACTTCAGGAAGCCTCCAAATCGACGGCAAATGCAAACGCTCGGGTTCGGCAGGATGTTCGATGACACACGACGACCCGACAGCACAACAAACGCAAGCGGCCTGTAAAATCGTTTGCAGCAAACGGCTGCCCAACATAATTTGGCGTCACTTACGCTTACTACGGGAAGGGATCCCCCAGCGCCAAGCGGACGAGCGAAGCACCCTGGGGAAAATCCCCCCATTCGGGGGGGGATTGGCGCGGCCTTGGCAACACGTCTCACACGGAGGCCCACCAATCACCCCCACAGCCTGCTTAGTCCAGAGCATATTCAGGAAAATGGTGACAGAGCTCTGAATTGTTAAATCACCTGCAACCTTATCATTAGCAACGTCTATGGACAACATCACTACTGGGAGCCTGTTTTGTTTTTTTGCAAGGCCGCAAAATGCATCTGGACGTCGCCAGCGCGGCGCTGTCCACTAAAAAATGAAGAACAAAACAAGTTTCAGTAGGACTGCGGGCAATTGCAGGGGCAGAGTCGGTGTCATCATCACAGGGCCTCTCGATCCCCTGCGTGCTGACTCGCACAAGCAGGTTCGGAATGTCACCACCCAGAGTAGGCCCCACGAACCCTTCTGGCGGATACTCGGCGGCCAGCTGCACACCCCCCTTTGCTGTCAAGGCCTGCGCCTCTTTAGCATCGGCGGTCCGAAGTCCGATCATCTCCGGCACGCTCAGGGGCTCGAGAAAGTGCACAAGCGTGGGCAGGCAAGTCTTGGATCCAAACCTCAGATGTCTCAAGAGCCGCCCACGCGAATGCCAGTTAAATCCGCCAGCCTGGCAACATGCCCCGACGGCTACGGAGCCAGCAATGTCAGATTGTGGGTGCATCAAGGTGCGGTGGCGTGACCATGACGCCTTTGTGCTAAAAATATGGTCGCACTCTCTGCATGGGTACGCTACTTCCGGGGCTGGCGGTCGCACAATGTCTGGGGGCCTGAGCTCGCCCCTCTTGCAGATCTTAAAAAGCTCTGCTCTCCATGTGCCGACCTCCGCCAGTGCAAGCTCCTCCGCCTGTGCACTACGCTCAGCCTTCCTGCACCAAGAGATCCACTGTTTCGCATCACTCCGAGCCACGGACACCCACCAAGAGAAACCACCGACGGGATTCCAGGGTCCAGGGATCGAGACGCGATCGTACATCCACAACATCCTCCTGCATAAGCTCAGCCCAGCTCCCTTCCGCATCGATCATACAATCAAGCAGGAAAAGCAAACCGTTGAAAGCAAAGCCTACGAGCCTCTGGAGAAACCTCAAGCGCCTGAGCCTGAGCACCGTAAGAGGAGACAAACGCTTACTGAAAACATATACTTCGTCCTTGGACCATGCGCACAACTCTTCCCCCTGCACCTTATACCCCATGGCCGCACGCAGGGATGTCAGGTAGGCCGACTCGAGAAAGGACTGATTGCTGGTAGACAACGGCGCCCATACAGCCCCATGGAACATAACGCGACTGTGGCAGAAGGCAGCGGCGAACTTAAACTTGGGACCAAGCTCCAAATCGTTGTTTTTCTTGAAGACGGCCCTCCGAAGGCCACCCAAGACGCTCGGCTGAGACCTATGCCGATGCATCAGCTCAGCATTCATGGCCCCGCCATCGTGAATCATAGAACCAAGGTGCTTGCACGCGCGTGCCAGGTGCACGTGCTGCCTTATGTGTGGCACCCAAAACTTGCTTCTCATGGCACCCAGGTCCCTAGCAACGCCGCGCTTGCCATAACCAGTCGGGCATATGAGGAGCGTCGACTTCCCCTCCCCATAATTCACACTAAATCCCCGAACTCTCATCTCGTCATCCACGATCCCTACCACGACTTGGGCCAACCTGATGGCCTCGTGCGCCGTCCTGGCAGCCTGCAGCACAGCGAGGTCATCGACGTACGACGGCGATCCTATTAGGGCGTCCTGCTGGTCACCGTCGGGACGGAAGGCACAAGCAGGGTCGACTCCGAAATCTCTGGCGTCCAGCGCGAGCCCCTCGGCAAAGAAACGCTCGCGCAGCCTCTCGTGCACGGGTGCAAAGGATAACGTGAAAAGCAAATCTGCAGGCGGCATGCCTGGCCGCGTCCCTGTAGAGGCTTTGGCTACCTCTGACGTACACTTGACCTAGAACCACGCACAAGAGTTAGCATCTCCGATCAGATCATGCACACGTTTGCTAGCTACTCTCTCAAAAACCGTCGGCTCAGCAAGGATGCTACGCATTGCGCCCTCTAAAGCCATGGGGGAGCTGCAGCTCGTCGATGGCGTTTTCCAGACCCCCCTCCACCTCAGGCAATCCCGCGAGAAACTCCCTGACGACGGCGTGGAAGGCAGCACGCAATCCGTGAAATAAAGCACGGCTGAATAACCCCGGCGGGTAACAAAATCCTAGAAAAACTCGGACCTGAAGAGACGCACCAGCAGTCCCCCGACCAGGCCTGCCTCCGCGTTGGTCGACGCCCATTAACACGAAAGCAACTTCCAAAAATGTTCTGCGCAAAACCTTGCGGTGATGCATACACACGTGGACCCCAAGCAAGATCTCGCGAAAGTTAGACAAAAACCTCGGGCCCCCTTTTTTGAACAGATCATGGGCCACACCGCCTTTCCATGCTAAAGGTTCCCTACCCATCATTTGGACCCTGACCATAAGCGGTAGAATCATACGCGAGCTGACCTCCGGGGCAGCGTTGCACAAATCATAGGTGACGATGTCAGGCCCCCCTGCACGCCTACGAGAGGCATTCAAGATGGCCACCCTCACAGCATCCAACGACATGATATCACTCAAGTCCCTGAGCCCTACGGAACTAAAAAGCTGCTGCAAGCGGTTGTACTCGCTTACAAGTTCCTTAACTGAACACACGTAGGCCTTCTCAGCCTTCGCAAAGTGCTTCAGCAAGCCCAAGGCCAACGCCTCGCGAGACTCGAAAGGCACACCATTGGCATCATATCGAAGAGGAAGGACCCCAGAATAACCTCTCCCCTTGACCCCGCCGGAGGCCAACAAACATTTGACCAACCCCCACTCTTCCCGTCCATCCCCTGCGGCAGACGCGCCCTTGATCGCATCGGCCGTCTCTCTCAAGAGTTCTGCACGATCCACGCGGAGTTTCTTCCGAAGGGCCCTCTGGGAAGACCGAAAGAAACCAACGAAAAAAAGCGGTCAAGTCGGGCATGGTTATCTCCTGCGCCAACCACAACCGACACCCAAAGGCGAGCACCCCCAAGGTCACATCAAACTCCAGGAACTCCTTTCGAACCTGCTCTAATTCCACATCAGGGTGGTCAATCAACTGCAGCAAGGAGTCTACAAAGCAAAACAGGGGCCATGTGTCAAAATCTTTGTAACGGCGCAGGACACCTCGAACAGACCTTCGAACCCTGATCGCCCACAAGGTTGCTGACCTAACATAGGATTTCACGGGCCCCAATTTCTTTTTGGAAAAATGCTTCACGGCACATTCGTGATACGACTGGGTGAGTATTCGGAAATGCTCATTTACATCAACGGACCAGTGTACTTGCGGTGACGCTAGCAAGTCTTGGGCGAATGCAACTTGCTTCGCTGGCTCGCGAGCCGCTTGGATGTCGAAAACTGGCAGCCCTCGCTGCCCTCCGACCTCCTCTGCCCACCCAAGCTTCGCATACACAGGACAATGATCATGATGCGTGCGTTCCACATCCACGTCATGCACAACACCCTGCTCGACGATATGTGAGCCCCACACGATAGGCACACAAACGAAGTCGATACGGTGACGAGTACCCTTCTTACATTGGCATGTGTATGCTGGAGCCTCGGAAGCCACGAGCGTGCTACACGCACACAACTGGGACTGGCACAAGGTAGAGTGAAACATAGCTCCATTTCTGTCTTCCACATCGGCCGCAACGCCACCGACCGAACTGCTGCAAACACTGCCGACGCGCGCATTCGCATCGGTTAGCAAAATATCCACGCCATGCCTGGTCACGAGCTGCTGCACCTCGTTCCACCAGGCCTGCCTCTTGCGATGGGGAGCCTCTGGACATAAGAAATGGCACACCATGACCACTACCTTCCAACACGGCGCGTTCATCTTCACGGCAAGGCACCGAGGGTCCGCCGCAACAACCATGCAATGCCAGGCTTTAAACCTCAACTCCTTCCCTTTGCGCCGCGCATATGGGACAGCACAATTCACCCGTAGCTCGCACCCCAAATTCTCCCCCTCCTCCGCTCCTGAGGCAAAGCAGCAAAAATTGCCGGCCATCTTACGACCACGAGGTGTACGCGCCTCCTGCACGCCGACAAAAAGGGCCTCGGCCTCTTGGAATTGTTGGCGCAACTGTTGCCCTCGCAAAACCTGAACCTCCCCCTTGACGACGTCCCTGGGCCGTCTCGGCGCTATATGAGACCAACACAAAACTTCGTGTCACCACCGATTTTGAAACCTCGACGTCGAGCTCTGGCTGCCCAAAGGTCCCCGGGGCGGCCTGGATGAAAGTACCTTTACCGTTCTCTTCACAAGACTGCGGCCTGCCCCCCAGGACCATAGCACTACAACCTGCGAGAGGGTACTGCTGACGCTCCTGCTCGTTGAGCTCAGCGATCCAGTTCCAAGCAAGCGCTGGCGTGTAAAAAAGCTGCCGTACGACGGCAGGGTGGACACAGTCATATTCCAAAATCTTGGTGGACTTAGCGATTGTGTCCATACACATGCTCGATATCTACGTGCACGCGTGCGCAAGCAAGGTCGTACAAATGCCGTGCCAGCGCAGCTAGCTGGGGCTCTACCTTACCAACGCTTAGCCCTAGCGTCAGTCCAGTGGCAACCTCCGAATCAGAACATATTGCGACGCTGGCAAGGGGGCAGAAGGCACACGAACGGGGCGATACTTACCAACGGCCCATACTAGCGCCCAGATAATACCCACGAGCTCGGCAGATACACTGCCCACGTCCTTCTCCAGAACGAAGCCCACCGAGTCGTGAACATCACCTGCCAAATGCCCCCATAAACCCGACATCTCCCTCTTCATCAATGCACGTGCCTATTAGGGCCCACCCGCTCAACTCCTTCTCAGAGGGCACCGACCCATCGGTGCATAAGATGACCTGCTCTGATGGACTGCTACATGGCGGGGCAACCTGCAGTGCAAATTGCGATATGTCGTTCAGCGCAACCTCCCCCATATCTTGCACAAACGCGAGCTGCTGCCCATGTTTGATAAGACACTGTGCGATCCGATCGGCCCCCTGGAAATCACAACTGACGTGCCTTTCGACTCTAAAGGTGAGCGCGTCTAAACTGATGATCGTTTTTGGTGCAGGGGGCTTGGGGCCTGAGCCTACTTCGGGACCTTGACTGCTAGGCACGACCAGCCCCATGCTAGGGTCGTACTCACGAGTTTCGGCACCTCCGAACGTGACAGCCTTCTGTCCCCTTCGAGCGGGCACGCGCGTCTGGGTGCGCCCAGCACCTCCACACTGCAAAAACACGCCGTCCTCCCACACACACACACACACACACACACACACACACACACACACACACACACACACACACACACACACACACACACACACACACACACACCACACACACACACACACGTCCGAAGCCCCCCCCCCCCCCCCAAACCTCGACGGCCGCCTGCTGCCTATCTCTAAGGCCAGACGCGGCGAGATGCACCAAGGGGCTCGCACTCAGCAAGCCTGACTGCGGCGTGACTTCAAATGACGGAGGCTCAGCACTAACCCTGCTGGCCTCAGGCTTGACAACGCCTAGCTTGGCAAGCTTATGCGCATCCTGCGGGCCTCCAACAAGGGAGCCCCCACTGGTGAAGGCGAGGGAGTCCTTACCAGCCAGCATCTGCAACAAATTCGCGCCATCCTGCTCCGCATGAGCGGCGGCCGCATCGTTGCCGCCGGCCTCAGCATCAGCGAATGGCTCGGCAACCGACGCAACTGCAGGAGCGACAGGGTCTTGAAAGTGCAAGTCTGAATCCCGAAACGCATCGGACCCTGGTCGAGTCCGAACAAAATCTCCTTCGCACAAATACGGCCTTCCACGCGGACTTATACGCATCATGTGACGCGTACGGCACACTGCATCGAAGGCATTGCACATGTGCATTCGCTAAGCCGTTGCATCGAGTCGGAGCATAATGCCCACGCGTCGTGCATATATGCTTCGTGCTGTCCGCGCTTGTTCCCACGCGTCCATGCATATCTCACGCGCCAAATCACGCCTGGCCTGCACGCCTGGGGCGAGAGGTTCTAAAACACGGCTGGAAGCTATCTGATCGACGACCCCATCGACACAGAACAACATCCAATCTGCAAAGGCGAACTGCTCATCCCACGAGACGGCCACACCTGACCATGGGCGACAGCGCCCTGCTAAAACTCGTGCCATCACGTTTGCTGCATGCCGCGCTTGCTGCGCGACCGGCCTAGGCGGAGGCCGATCATAAGGTCCCAACCCCGCCCCGCTGCCAAACGAGACCGCCCCCACCCCATCCATATCAGAGTCTGCCTGGTGCCACTCTTGGTCAGACAAACTCACTAACGACTGGCCGAGGTCACTCTCGCGCAACTGGAATGTCTCACAACTACTACTATCGTGCATACTGCGCTGCGCCCCACATGCGCTGCGCACAAGATGCGACGTGTGTGCAAACGAACGTTCATGCTGGCTGCCGCTACCTACTGTTTGCCCTGCTTGGTCGGGGCACTTGGCTCCGCGACCGTCCTGGGCTCCTTCCTGGGCGGCGACTTCACGTCGTCCTCCTCCTTCTTCACACGTTCCTCCTCCTTCACTGCCATGTTGATCGCCTCGGCCTGCTGGGCTGAGCTCGGCATCTGAGACGGCGACGTAACACTGTACTGCATTTTAGCGGGCTGGCGAACTCCTGCTGCGTATCGATCGGCTGTGTCGGCGAGCACACGGGCGTTGGCAATGGGACTGGCACTTCCTCTTTGACCTCCCTCGCGGGGCTCGTCGGCGAGGGTAACCCCACTGCTGGAACCATCTCGCTCTGCGTGCCAGCCACTGGTCTCCCTGGCGCGTCGCACCCCGTGATGAGTGACGGCGTTGCTGGCGTTGCCAGTTGCGTACCTGCTGCCTCCGTAGGTGTCCACTGTCCTGGCGGTATCGTCGATGCTGAAATTGGCGTTCCTGGCGCTGGTATGCCGTGGCCGACAGGCGTCTCTGGTACAGGAAACCCCGCTGCGATCGGCGGCTGTGGCGGGAATGGTGGCGGCTGCATAGGCGGGGACGTATCTACCCCCGCGCTGGTCGCCGTTCCCGCTGGTATGACAGGCGCCGCCGTTCCTCCTGTACTCTGCCCTGCTGCAATCTGGGCAAGATACCCAATCGTAGAGTCGGTCTGCTGCTGTCTCTGCGCCATCTGATGGAACTGCTGATTGGACTGTAACATAATGTACTTCATCTCGCTGATCTCCTGGGTGACCTGCTGCTGGGGCTGCTGCGCGCGGCGCTGGCCCATATGGCCCTGCCGCCCGGTGCGTCATCGCACCCGCAGGCCCAGGCACACCACCACCAGCAGGCGGCGGCGGAGGTACGGGGCCACCGGCCATGTCGTCGTCCTCCAGCCGTAGCTCCTCTATCTCTGCGATGCACTCTTTGTACTGCTCGATCTCCGTGGCAATCTCGCCCTCCTGCGTCTTTAAGTCGGTCATGCGAGCGATGGTGTTCTGCATTCTGACCGTGGCCCTTTCCTTGCGACTCTTTAAGTCAGCGAGCTGCTGCGGGTACGAAAGAGTGTTTGCGAGC